ACGAAACGAGAGAACTTCAAAGGCTCTTGAGTGTCCTGAGATTTAACACAGAGCGATTGTAAGTACGTACAAGTTACTTATTTAACTTCCTGTGCAAATTCTATCAAATCTAATTGCAACAAGTTACAACTGCACGGTAGTCACTAATGTTCTTTGCTCTTGTGCAAGTTGATTTTGTCTCGCTTATTCCGCTTCGTTCGTTTCGCTCGCTTGATTTCGCTCGTTTCGGTGGTTTTGTTTGGTTGTTTCGGATTCTACATGCAGTACATGCCATGGAACTGGCGTACTTCTGACATGTTGGTTTAGCTTGGTTTCCTTGCTTTACTTTTAAAGAGGTTTCGATAGTGTTCACTAGTGCGTCCTTAAGTTACTTCGCCTGTAACTCCACATTTTCATACAAGTACAAATTTTTTGGCCAGCAGCCGGACCTGTTGTCGACTGCCAGAATGCCTCAAATTCCATAAGTTTGCACTGATTCGAAAATCATTATCTTAAAGGTGACACAATCAATTTCCTGGAAATATAACAAAGAAGCCGGAAATCCTTGTTGTCTGAGGATAAAATTTATCAGTACATGTACTAATACTGTCATAATATGTCCGATGCGCTCGAGTATACATATACCACGTCTCGTGGAATCCGTTCCCTGCTAGAGATGTAACACACACATGAAAGAAACCGAAAACAAACCAAGGGAAAATTCCCTCGGATGAAAATTGGAGGGGGGAGAGGGGAGGGGGCTCATCATTAAGCCGAGCACATACCTCTACTAGTATTTCCCAAAATGTGTTTTGCGTTGTTCGTTTGCACAGACAAACTTCTTTGCGATGTCTACAGTGTTCAATGTGTTCGTTATAGACTTATACAAATGCAGGAGGAGGCAGCTGTTTAGACGGTCCTGCTTCATGACGCTTCTAAGGTAAGTTTTTGGTTCTCGTAGGGCTGATCAAAGTGGCTATGAGCCACTCAACTTGGAAAATGGATCGTCTGTAAACAGTGAAAATGTTAATGCCACTGACTTAATCCGTAAGTTAATTTAAAGTTAAATTCCACTGGCAAAACACAACATTCATGAAGTTATTGGTGATCCTCGTCATATTAGAGTAGAGAGTAGAGTCATAGTACCACAAAGACAGCATCACGTCTCGTCCGCTTCGGTGGGGTTACTGCATGGATAGGTGACCGAATCTGAATACCCCGTGTTGTAATAACTTCTTTTTTTTTTCTTCCCTTTCCAAAGCGATATTCGTGACTGATGAACTCCCAGTCTTGTGTAATGTCCTCTTTTTCTGTTTATCAACTATTTTGGTCAAATAATTTCGCCATGTCTGTTTTATTTACAATACTGTATAAATAATAGCAAAACGCGTCGTTCGAATTCTCTTCAAATCTCTTGTCTGTTGATCGTCCAAAATTTTTAATCACAGCTTGAATCATAATTCGAAAATTCATGCAGCTCATCAATTTCGTGATTTTCAATATCTCCTCAGTCTTCGGCAATCGAATATGGTTAAACCTGTATAAGGGGACACCTTCGGGAAATGAGCCATTTACGTAATTTGCTTTTATATATAAAAACGTTCGTGCGAAAATCCATTCAATGTAGATCATTTCTGCGGTAAGATGTTGAGTACTTGCGTTATAAATACAAAGAATAACTAACTTGACACGGTGCAATCGACTGTAAAACGGCCTTGGACAGAGTTATGTTCGAAACCCGGGGGGACTCCTATATGAAAAGGTCGTGGATGCTCGTCGTCTCGGGTACAAATCAAGGATTCTGGTCTCATTTTAGGTGTTGATGACGAAACGCCGCCATTCTTAGCTGTCAAAGTATCCTTTAGGGTGCACTCGAAGAAATAGTAATAAAAGAAACGCTCTCATTTGTTTTCCGCTGATCTCACGAGTACGCGAGGCGGGTCTACAAGAGCTCGCGGGATCCTTTCTTGAATAGTGGCTAGTAATCGAACCTATTCTGTTTAAGTGGCATGTTTTGGGGGTCTAATGAAGCTCGAGCAACGCCTACATTAGTCTTCTAAAGGAGTTCAATTCAAGTTTTCCGACGATCATCCCTTACCTTCTCATATGAGAGTTCTCCCCTCCCCGGATTCCAAATGTCTAACAAGAAGTGACCCAGTGAAGGAGTGAAGGAGTGATGGACTGAAGGAGTGATGGAGTGAAATCGTCCCACCACTACAACTTGGAAAATTTTCAAAGTTTAAAAATGTGCGCTCGGAAGTCGGAAAAAATGTTCTTTCGCCAAACGCGAGCATGATAAAACGATTTGTGAACAGATCACGAGACGGAATATTTAGTCAAACCACAGGAGCACACCATCTTGTTGAGTAGGAAGAGAGTAAATAAAGGAATGAAAAGAACGAATAGTTTACGTTTGTCTCCTGTTGTCGTCTCTTACTCGACCTTGCAGGGAAAACCGCTACCTACATGTCCTGTGTAACACTGTGGTAACACTGTGTAACACTGTGTGTTGGGAGTATGTGAGTACTCTATTAAAAGTTAATTCCTTTGGTGATCGTTCTCTTATATCTATTCCGCCCCGCATGTTCAATTTTGTATTGTTCTTTTGCGGAGAACTACAACATTTTATCACTGCTTGGTACAAGACGATTAAAAATTGCAACTGATGCCCTCACCAAAACTACATTAACTGTGCTTTTCAGCGGTCTGATCTCTAGCTTAGAAAAGTGCAAGGCTTTCAGATCAGTTCGCTTACCATACGCTCCACAATTTTTTTAAAAATTTATTTCCACAATTACAACAATTCTTTTTTTTTAAAGTTACAGAAGAATGAATAAAGTTTGGTTTACAGTAGTTAGCAATGACACCATATTGAAGTAATTAAGAAAAAGGATTTTTTTCAATTCTTATCAACATACTTATTTAACTTAACGATTTTCCTTGATAATAGCGTTGTTTACTTTAATTATTAGTTAAAAATGTTTCCTCAAAAATCTTCAAATTCGTTAATTCGATTTGAAATATATGTGTTTCGCAATTTCATATTTAATTACCAAAATTCGCATGAAGTGGCTGAAGAAAGGTAATGTTTCTCTACATCGACAAGTCTACGAGAAAGATCTACCTAAAATTAGTATACAATTATAGAATAGATCCATCTCCTCCTCAAAAGACCCAACAATAACATCGAAATATGGCAGCGAGAGGCTTCTAAAACTCTTGATTTTACTCAAAATTTTTTCATTAACCTCATGCCAAAAAGAATCTGAAAAAGAACAACCGAACAAAATATGGGATATGGTTTCTGTTAGCTGATGACAGAAGGTGCAGTTGGAATTAGAAACGTATCCTATTTTACACAGGCGGTCATTAGTAAACATTATTACGTGGTTTTGGCTTGTGACCGATATAACACGTGCTCTGATTGGCTAAGAGCGAGATCTGAGTGGTCACTATGCAGTCGTAATGCCCACGGGCCGATTACGGATTATGCAAAGAAGAACCCGGCTCTGAAAATTCAAACGCATTGAAACGATGAAAGCCGATTAAAAACAGTAAGAGAAAGTAAATTTAATTCCGAGTAGCTAAAAGTTTAGAGATTTTTCCTTAATATAATTTACTTAGAAGTCGTTTTTGACTTACCAGCTGGTAACCTTGGCGGGCACTAGTGAAAACCAATCAAAGTTTGCCGAGTCTTAACATAACCAGTTTGATCGGAGTTTTTTAAAGTTGGCAAGACTTTTTCTATTCTCTTGGTTATGACTTTAGTGAGAATCGTGTAGTCGACGTCCAGGAGTGAGATGGGCCTTAGATTTTCCAGAATAGTTTTATCCTCGGATATTTTTGGGATAAGCGAGATTATTCCTCGTCTTTGGCTTATGGAAAGCGTACCATGCTGAGAAGCAAAGTTGCAACTGGCTAGCAGATCATGACAGATGTCAGGCCAAAAGAATCGGGAGAATTCAGCTGGCAGACCATCAGTGCCCGGGATTTTGTTATTGTGGAAGTCCTTGGGCGCACTTGTACATTCTTCTTCGTTTACTAATCCTTCACAAGATTTCTTCCCCGGCCTTCTTCGCTTAGTGCGGTTACGTTTTCTGGATTAAAAAACGGCGAACTTTTGAAATTTTTGGGATTGACATGGGTTGAGCGGTATAATGACTCATAAAACTTTTTTTCTTCTTCTAAGATTTCGAATTGATCTTCTATGTAAGAATTTTCCCCAACTTTGAGTTTCGAAACTGTTTTTATATAATGATGGCGTTTTTCTAAGCTGTAGAAATACTTTGTGTTGCGTCCTCCATCTTCATGCCATCTCACTTTGCCTCCTAGGATTGCGCCTTTGGTGTTCGTCGACGTAATTTTTTTGAGACGTGATCTAGCACGTTGCAGTTCGAGTATGATGTTTCTGTAGTGCGGGTTATTTTCTGCTCTGGCTTGAAGGTCATTTACTTTTTTGTGCCGTAATTTTTCTTCATCTCGGTATTTTTTCGCTTTTCGTTTAGAGTACTTCATCGTGAGGCCTCTTATCTCCATCTTTATGAGGTCCCATTTTAAACCTAAGTCATGAGTCTCGTTGCATTTTTCCTTAAAGTTTGGAATGTTTATCTTAAGTGCTGTTACGTGTTCTTCATCTTTAAGTAGGCTGCACTAAGTTTCCAGAAGCCAGGTCCTCTTTTTTGGTTTAGGTGATTAGACTGGAGAATAAGTGACACAGCGGAGTGATCAGATTCGGGTGCGTGGACGATGTCGCATTACTTTGCTAATTGAATTAACGCCTGTGAAACCAAGTCTCCTCCACAGGAGATTTTTTGAAAAAATCTAGGCGATATTGAATTTTAAACGATTTAGTTCTCCATGTGAAACACTGCTGTCTTTGTTCAGGCTTCGCCATATATCACTTAAGTTATACAAATCACAAACCGTATTGATTTCTTGGATGACAGCTGATTTCTTAGTTACAGGTTTTCCGCCTCTTTTGTCATTTGAGGTGACTGCGGGAAGTCTCCCCCAATTACAATTATATCTTGCGCGAACTCCTCGAGTAAAAAGCAACATGTTGGGCGACATCGTCAGGTGCGTAAATGTTGACGAGAACAATAGTTTTTTCTTCCAGTGACAATTTTAAAATAATGAACCTTCCTTGTTTGTCACGGTCTTACCCTGGGTGCCAGAGGGGTTTTTGGTATGTTTGTCTGCTATTAAGTTTTCGACTTTGAAATTCACAAAGGGATTAATTAGTGTAATGACACCTTTTCTATGATTTGTGCCGTGGATAAAGAAAGGTTTGCCGCCCCATTCGGTAAGATTTTTGAGCAGTATGATTCTGGCAAAAATATGACATGATGTTTTTGTTTGTGTAACCATCGAAAAACGGTTCGGCGTTTGATCGATTTATTAAGGCCTCTGTCATTTAGTGACAAGCATTTTAGGTCACAAGCAGTGGCAGTTTTGGCGGTGTTCATTTTGTTGGCGGTTTAAACCCACGACAAATTGGGACAAAAAAACGTATACTTTTTCGCTGATGGGCTGCTGCGAGAATGTCAACGAACGAAAAAAGAAGACGGTTGTTTCAAGCGAAGCGGGTTGGTGTTACATGTAAAGTGAAGGGAGTGTAGCATAATAAACCTAAAGACTACAACTGCATGGTGCTTATATAAAAACATAAACAAAAAGGAAATTTGGGTACTTAGCGCGATGAGATAGAGCCAGTGACGCGGCTCGGTTTACCCTTACCCTATTTATGACCAAAATCTGCGATTTTTGCTACCCTATTTGACCTGCCTGTGGCCAAAAATTCTATACCCTATTTATGACATTTGTAGTTGGCACAGTTGCCCTTAACATAAGTTATGAAGGGTTTTTGTTGATGGTCTTATTGATAATGAAGAAAAAGTAGCTTCTTCTAAGAAACATACGCAATTCAAGACTAGAGCGATAAAACCATACCCTATTTAAGACCAAAATGGTCAAAATCGATACCCTATTTATGACCAAAACGGCTGAAAAACC